CCTGTTTGCTGTTTCTATGCAGACGGCAAATGCCGAAAATGGGGTGGTGTTTGCCTGTTTTGGGTGGTGCAGGGTGGTGGAAGTGGTGGTGCCGTGTTGCTCTGATGATGATGATGGTGATGGTGATGACGATGATGTCGATGGGGTGGTGGTTGTTGCACACAGCCATTCAGAAAGGAGTAACAATGAAATTACAGCAGGAACAGGAATAAATAGCATTTGGGAAAAACTCGACAGCGCCGGGACGCAAAAGGATATATATACCGAAAATGCCGAATACCCAGACTCAGAAACCCAAACACCCAGACTCCTAGTAGCCCGGACACAGACATCGCGAATACAATAAAGATGAAAGAGAAGTCAATTGCGGATCCATCGAAGCGTGAATACTCTTTGTCAGTTGGCCCTGATTGGTTTATGGTGCCATAAACTACACGAGTCATTCGCGACAAAGGCCCCGCAATCCTAATCAAAGGAAGCTTTGCAAATTACATGTTGCTCGGCTGCCTCACCGCTTTACATGCACCTCGATTGTTTCATTTCCTCATTGAGTCGGTTATTGGAAATACTTGGGGTCTAATCCGTCGGATTGGCGGAACATATGTCCGCGCTTAGCCATGCAGGGTAGTGGAAAATATCTCCAAGCCCATAAAGAATGTTTGGAACAAATTTAATTACACATTTTCTTAAAGATCTCAAAGTTTAGACACCAAGTTCCGACGATAAATAACGCCATGCATCATGGGAGTCATCCATCCATCTTCCATTTACCTCAGATGATGGAGTGGCTTAGTTTGCATCTAGCCGTAGTCTAATTAAAATATGTTTCATTTCAAAACGAACTCCACAAGATGCTTATCTATTTTGTTACCCAAAACTCGTATCTTTAACTTATTTGAACACTTTTTGTACGAAACTGAGGTACTTGCGATATTAGACCAACTGCTCTGCGAATTTCCATATGCCTTGCCATAGGGCATGCACAATATACCATATACAATTCAGAATCAGACCCAGACTGAGTCTGGTACTCCCGTGCTGTTTCCACTTTAATACATCATTGAATGGAAAACGGAATGAGCATGCCAGACACCTGGCTCCCTTGGGCTCTGTACCTTTGTGAGTTTGGTGCCATCGTACCGCTGCCTCTGGCTTGCTTTTCCCTCTGGCCCTCGGCCTGCTGCCCTGGGTGCCCAGTTGAGTTGCAACAGGGGTAGGAGGAAGGATCAACAGTTTCTGGCTATACTGCTGCAGCTACAGCTGCCGCCGACGTCACTTCCGTGCCACGCGAGCGTCGCACTTCTGGCGAGAAGGGATAGGGATATGCGCTGGCCATGCGGGGTTGGGGGTTATAGCCAAAGTTTCGGGGCAACTCGCTAGGCAACGCCGCAAATAGCCCTTGGCAAGCTGACAAGCCGAATGGCCAGCGACTACGGCTGCCGCCAGTGGGGTGTGCATTTTGGATTGGGCCAAGAGTGGGGCGCAGTGCCCACCCACCAGCGGAGGGCGGTGGAAAGGGGGAAAAGCACCCAAAACAGCTGGGCCAGCTGCAGCACTTGTAGAGCATTTCCTGCTCCTGCTCCTGGTCCTGCTCCTGGCGACTGGTGCTGCTCCTGCTCCTGCTGCTTTTTGCACGCTCGCAAACGCGCTCAACTGAATCCCCGTAACTGGGCTGCGGTGCACCTTTCGTACTCTCGGACAGGGATATCCACCCCCACCCAAAACTAAATAAACTAACAAATTTCAACGAAATCTAAAGGGTTGACCGAGTGGATACCCTGCTAGGACCAAAGGGCTACTGAAATCGAAAATGCCGTGGAGCTATCACTATAAAGCTTATAAGTGCAACAAAATCAGCATAAAATATATAACATAAAAGATACATGAAGACCAACTTCAAGTTCAGATAAACATATTTAGTAGCATTAGAAGGAGGTCACTGGAACCCCGCAATTAAAAGGTATCATTCGGCTATAATAACAACCAATAATCGGGATAGTCAGCCAGAACCTCAAGTACTGGCACCGCAGACCCTCGATATTTGTGTCTCGAAAATGTGTGAGAGGTAGCACCGCCGGCAAGCCTGTAAGCCCCTTTGAAATACGCCCTCGCAGGGTAGCAGAGTAGCAGAGAGCAGGGTATGGAACCGGGCATAAACAAAAACTAATAGCTGCAAACTTAGCACACACACCGCACAGCTCGTAAAACACGAAACAGGAAGGCTGTCGCTGCATTAACCATATTGTCCTTGTTCCAGGTGAGCGCGCCCCATTCCGCCCGTCGTCTTCCTCCGCCGGCTGCATAATTTCGTTGGCCGCTTTTCCTCCGCCACTGAATTCTATTCCACATTTTCCTGTCGTGACGCGTGGCCCCAGTTCCGATTCGCTAGCCAAAGCCAAAGCCCAAGCCCAAGCCATATGGCCACGGAGTCGTAGAGCTGTAGAGCTGTAGAGCTTGAATCGCCTCAGTGCCTCACCATCTGCAGTCTGCCTTCCGGATCGGATCGAGGTGGAAATGTATTCATGTGCATGGAGAGGGTGTGGAGTGTGCGCGTGGCCAGCGGCGATCGAGGGATTGAGGTCCTGCCTAGTGGGTCCTTGTAAATTCCTCAAGGAGGCGGAGGGCGCGACTAACGAAGCGCAACAATTTCGTCGTGGGCCGCATAGAGCGCATCTTGGTCGGAATCGCCTTCAAGTCTGTTGGCTGGAAAAGCAGATTACCATCCGCTAGGAGCCGCGTGCCAGACGAGTGGTTTCGTCAACACCCAGAAAGGGGATGCACCGCGAAAAACACTCTTTGCTTGCTCTAGCAGCAGTAAAATTTCACTGGTGTTTGTTAGATCACAAGCTTAAAGCACTTGCAATCGTCATTTTTGTAAAAATATAAATTTTAAAAATGTAGTTCCCACATGAATAGTTACTCTATATAGCTAAGATTCCCTGCATTTTGTCTCAGTGCACTCGGGTGGGCTTGAAAGGGGCATATTTAGGGCTTCTACTTAGGTGCCGGGCGTAGGGCGAGCCCAATTTTTTATAATTAGTGCAGTCGAATTCCACAGATGGTCTATACGTTACTTTGGCATTAATATTTACATACCGCCCTGCCTTTTCAAGGAATGCCCGAAGAGGTCCTTCGAACTGTCACTCCGCGAGATGGATGGACAGATATTTGGATCGGTGGGCACTTCATGGTTTTCCTCAAAAATTCGAAATAGTTTAAACAGTGAAACCATACAAAAAAGGCTGCATCTGTTTTGGGTGGGGCACAGGAAGTGGGATCAACAAAGGACCTGGGGATACCATAGTAAACCGAATGAAAATTCCAATGAAAAGTATGTATAATTTTTAAGGACTGCAGCCGCTGCAGAAGCGACGCTAAGCTCGTCTGAGGCAGACAAATTGTCTGTTGTCGCTGGCTAATTAAAAGGTTAAGAACTTTGTAATTTAAGTGTCTGATTATGCAAAGCCCGGCTCCCCGTTCAGCTAACCGAAGCTCCACTTTAATTAATTAGTTTTGTGTGTGTTGCACTGACTGGGAATGCGAACAGATTGTATATGTAAGTAAGTCGCCTTTCAAGATGTTGCTGGGATTTTATGGTGGGTCATCTTCAAGGAATTGTTTGGAAGCATTTCAAGGATTCTCTGAGGTTTTTACTTTAATTACGCTAAGGGTAGCACAACATTTTAAAGTATTAAGTTACGAGTGCTCCCGAGTACGTATAATGTTTCAAATAGTATTGATAATATTGTAGGACACATTCTATTTCAAATAGGATTAATTAATAGCCAAACCAATGTTTATATTTCCTTCTAGCTTGAATGGCTTCAAAAGGAATGTTTTTACGAATATAAATATTTGGATGAACTTCACATGACTGCCCCCTTTGCGGGCATCAAAAAACCCTGAAATTCCATCCCAAAATCGTGTTCATTTCAGACTGGGAGTGTGGCATATGACACATCCAGCTGTCAATCAAACCCAACTCGGCAGGAGCTGCAATTAATCATCCAACGATTTGAGTTGCCGCACTCATATCCGACCTCTGTGATCTGGAAAGTAAACCACTTATTCATGGCCAGTGGAGAGCCGTCAGTCCAGAGAGACGAGGGCGACAGAAGTTAGTTTGTGCTGTTTATCTTGTACTAACTGAGTTAGGGCCAAGGACCAGCGACTGTTGCATCCCCTCACCCCCCACCCAGTGTATGTATATGTTTACGGGCAAGCAGCATACACCCCCTTTTTGCCATCCCGTCGCTGGCAATTTGTTCAAAATCAGAGCCAGCAACAAATGCAATGCAACAGCAATTAACTCGGCACAACTGCCACATTCTGGGCGCAAAATCCACCCCGTGTACCGTGAATGGGAGCCTCAGGCGGCCAAGAGCCAAGAGCCAAGAGCCGCGAGCCCCCAGCCGAAAAAGTTCCAAAAGGGCCAAAGAGCCATGAGCCAATTCTCAGGTATGGCTGGGGGTCCGGTGCCCCCCTTTCCGAAAGAAAGAGACCGACTGGGAGAAGGTGGGGAAATGGAAAGAGAGAGGCGCAACAATTTTGAAATCGGGAGAAAGCAACAGCGGGGAATGCTTCGGCAATGGAACACTTCCTGATTGTTGCCCTTCCGCTAGGCAGTTTGTGCACTATGCGATTTGTTAGAAAATATGTTAGAAATCTCTTTTTTATCAGGGTTTCACTGGCATTTCAGGCACAATAGCCAGCCCCTACGCATTTTGCATCCTTTTGGCCCCCAGTACCTTATAATATATCATCAAATTGGGTTTCTTGAGATATTCCAACGTGTGTAGCAGCCCGCAGGACGAGCAACAGCAATAGCAACAGCTATGCGCTTCCTTTCTGGGGGTTGGAACTTAGGGGCTGTGCCGCTCTCGGCGTTCCGCTCTCTGGCGCTCTCGCTCTTACGCTCTTCCCTTCGTCTGGCGTCGGCTCGCCTCGGCTGCAAGGCGACGGACTTCGGCTGGCGGTCGTGCCGCTGGGGGTGGACCACCCTTATAAGCGGGCTCTCGGGCCGTACGACTCTCATAAGCATTCAAGAGTTGCTTACGTTCGGTTCGTTCGCATTTCTTCTCTATCTTATATAATATTATATTTTCTCCTAAATCAATTTTTTCACTACCAACAACAACAACAATAATAACAACTCAACTATTCTCAACTCGCGTCAACCTTAACTTAACTTTCTCAAAAACAACAAACTACAACTCTACCACTACCAATCTGTCAACTTTCCGTTTTTAAACTGAAACTGCAAACCAAAACATTTATTTTCGTCTCGACGGCCATTGACAAAGTTTTGTTTTCCAAAACCCGAGGAGAAACTTGCCAGGCCAAAGTGGTGAAAGGATACCCCTAAGATTCGTTCAAAAATCGTCCCCCCGTTATGTTTTGAGTCCAATTCCGTGTTGAAAACAAAACGTAAACGTAAACGTAAACGCAAATGTAAATGTAAAAATCGATAAGCCACACGCAGCCAGCCAACTGAACGCGAACGTGTCCGTGTGTGTTTCGTGGAGCGAGGGGATTGAACGGGGGGAACTGACCAAAAATCGGTGGCCCTGGCCAAAAACGCAAAAACTCCGGCCCAAAAAAATACAAGCAAAGCAAAGCAAAGCAAAGCAGAGCAGAGCAAGAGAGCGACTCGAAACTCCAGCCCAAATGACGGATACGGGTCTGACAACGAATCAAGCGCCGAAATGTGTGAAGTGGCTGTGAAACCCGAGGAATCCTAACTAACAACCAAACCAATTTACAATAAAATGCAAATTACTAAGAATATTTAACCGAAACGCACCAGACTACACCACTCCTCACACACTCACACACACACACACGCACACACAGACACTGACAAAGGAAACACAGCAGAATGCCAGGCCTGAAACTCAACAAGCTGTACGACTAAAACTTTAAGAGATCTTTCGGCGAGCCAAACTCTATATGCAATATATATAATTATATATATTTTCACATGCGAGATAACAACAGCAACGTTTCCTTTCCGCTTTTGCCACGAATAATACCCCCTGAGACGGTCTTTGCTCGCTCGAAACTCGACACTAGCTTCAGCACTTAGCCCTCTAAGATCTACTAACTGGATCCTGATCAAGCTCCTAGCCAAAACTCCAAAGCTCCAAAGACCCAAAACCTCAAATCTACAAGGAAGAACCCGAAAATGCCGCGCTGCCTGATAGCCAAGAAGTGGAAGGCCTATCCCTGGCTGGATCGCACCGAGGATGCTGGCAACCAGCAGCAGCAACAGCAGCAGCAGAGTGCCCCCAACTCGCCTCGAGAGCTTGAGGAGCTGCATCTCAAGTCCAGACGCTCCACCCTGGACGACGATGAGGAGATCGATGTGGTGGGCGACAAATTCCTGATCAAGTTGGAGAAGCAACGCACAACAGCAGATGCTGCAGCGGCAGCAGCAGCAGCAGCAGCAGCAACATCATCCGAGGCAGCAACGGAGGCATCCACGACGACGACGACGACGACGTCCAAGTGCTGGGGACCCAGTTCACCCACGGCGGGCACCACGGCTCCAAGTCCGCCTCCCCATTCGCCGGAGGCGGCGACGCGAGTGGCCGGCAATGTTTACAACGGTAAGTTCGCCCTCGGGAAAGTCGGGAAGTGGGAAAATGGGAAAGTGGGAAACTCGGGGGTAGGTGGAAATCGAGATGGGGCGCACGTAATCGCTGTCATTGATGTGGCCATTGTGCGATTGCGAAACAATTCCGAATCAATTTAATTGCCTTTGTTGTCACTCAATATTGTTTGCGATTCCGGCCAGCGGGCCACAAAACGCAGAACGCAGAACGTAGACCATGGCCGACTGCCTATTGCCAACTTCCAGCTCGGTTGCCATTCCCTTTGGCGTGAAAACAATGGCAAATGCCAAAATTAAACCGTTTGCCCTCGTCCTTTTTGTTGGAATATGTGTCCGTCACTGCTTTCCACGTACAACTGCAAAATTAATTATTCAGTGGAAATTAGAAGCAGCACAGACTCACAATAGACATCCTTTTTAGAGATCTAGGCTTTAAAACTTAAAAATAACCTGCTACAAAACTGATTTAAGTATCTGCATGCGATATTAACCTAACCCACTTTTCAGCGAGCTGTTGCATTTTTGTGTGCCTTTCTACTTCGCCAAAGTTCTTATTTTTCCGAGAGAATCCTTTGAGCAAACATACTGTTTTCTAGCGCATACAAAATAGTTATCTTAGCACAACTTCAGGCGTGGCCTTTGGCATTTATGTTGGCCTTTTAAAGTTTGTCCTTGGTTAAAAGAAATTAAACGCAGAGGAATCATCGAGTGGAACCATGTGGCAATCGTTCAGATTTAAATGAAAGCTATTGTGTAAAGTTCGCAAAGGGAAAAATCTAAGAATGGCAGAGGCTAAATGTTTTGGCAGCTTGTAAAGAAACGGAAATGAAAGAATTTATAATTACAAAGAGATTGTAAGTGCATGTCTAGAAAGTTTAAGCACTCTACATATTTTATCCGACTTATAAAGTACATTTTCCTGCAAAAATATGGCAATGACTGGAAGTCTCGCATACCTCAGGGGTAATGATGCATAAAGCTTAACCCATGATTTCCACTTTCTGCTCTCTACAGGCTACACTCGCGAACTGTCGCCGCTGCACTACACCGCGTACCTGCCCCGCATGGAGAGCGAGATAACCGTGATCCGTGCCGCGGCCACAGCTCTGGTGGCAGCCAGGACATCCGGAAACGGAAGTGGAGATCAGCACCTGGCCGCCTACCAGACGCCGCCCTCGTCCACCACGTCATCACCCTCTTGCTCGCCCAGCGGCGCCGGCGATCGGTACAGTCCGCTCTCGAGTGGACAGACCTCCAGCGAAAGGAAGTGCTTCAGCAGTACGGGTGCCACACTGTCGCTGCCGCCGAAGAAGAAGGACATCTACAGGCCGTACTCCCTGGACGACAAGCCGGCGCACGGCTATCGGAGAAGGGTTCCCGCGGAGGAGGACCTGCATGCGGCACATGCTATCCTGGATCTGAGTGCCAGCACAGCCTTCCACCCGCCCACGCAGCCTCACCAGCTGCAGCAGCAGCAGCAGCATCCGCAGCATCACCATTCCCAGCAGCAACACCTTGCCCCGCAGCAACATCACTACTTGCCACTGCAGCAGCAACAGCAACAGCAGCAACAGCAGCAGGCACACCACACCCACTTGCCAACTCTCGAGGCGCATGCGCATCTGCGCAGCACGTCATCGATTGCCGAGCTGGCTGCAGCGGCCAGTGTGGTAAATGAGCAACGCCCCGCCAGCAATGCCTCGAGTGCCAGCAGCAATCACATGCCCAGCAGTCCCAGCAGCAACTCGAGCAGCAGCAGCAGCCAGGTGCAGAACGAGAACAGCAACACCACGAACACGAACCAGGATGGGGATGGATGCCTTCAGGATGGGGAGCACAGTGGCGCCTCCGGTGCCTCGGCCAAAACGGTGGCATACACCTACGAGGCCTTCTTCGTCAGCGATGGCCGCTCGAAGCGCAAGCATGTGGCGGATCCCGCAGCTGCCGCCAGCGGAGTGCCCACTCCTGACCAGCAGAAGACCAAGTACACCTGCTCCGAGTGTGGCAAGCAGTATGCCACCTCCTCGAACCTGTCGCGCCACAAGCAAACCCATCGCTCGCTGGACTCGCAGTCCGCCAAGAAGTGCCACACCTGTGGCAAGGCCTACGTTTCCATGCCCGCCCTGGCGATGCACTTGCTCACGCACAAGCTCTCGCACAGCTGCGGCGTTTGTGGCAAGCTCTTCTCGAGGCCCTGGCTGCTCCAGGGTCACCTGAGATCCCACACGGGCGAGAAGCCCTATGGATGTGCGCACTGCGGCAAGGCGTTTGCCGATCGTTCCAATCTTCGAGCACACATGCAGACCCATTCGGTGGACAAGAACTTCGAGTGCAAGCGGTGCCACAAGACCTTCGCCCTGAAGTCATACCTCAACAAGCACTTGGAGTCGGCTTGCCTGAAGGACGAGGAGGAGCTGATGATGTCCATGTCGCTGTCGATGCACGACAGCAACAGCGAGAGTGGGGCCAGTATGGCCTCGTCGCCGCCACACGAGTTCCTTGAGCGCGTCAAGCTCGAGGGCAGTGGAGGAGCCACTTATGCCATGTAAGCATGAAACACATTGGCCGTGCCACAGAAATCTCTGAGGAAATCTTGAGACGGAGTCGTAATCCGGCTCGGTGGACCAGACTTGGACGTTTCTGTTGCACCACCGGTAAGCAAGGGGGAAGGAGGATGTGCTGCAACTGCATAGCTGGTTAGTTAATTTACCGTTAAAGTTAAAGTTACCGTTACCATTTACAACTAGGTTAACCGATAGCCGTTTTTATAGAAGATACATACATCACAATACGTCCAAGAGCAAAGTGTAGTAGAGTAACACAGAGACTGTAGAAATTCGCATTAGGCAGCCAAGCAACAAAATACTCAATGGGTGTGTTTTCGAAATCTGCTGCTTGATTTGGGAACTCATTTTTTAAAAGGTGCCTCCAAAAGTATGCAAAGGATTCTTCCAAATTCATGATCAGATTCTGGAAACACCCCCATAATAACCAACTCAAAATGGTTCTTCTTTTAAGCATAAGTGAGTTGAACATTCCTAAAAACCAAAGCATTCCACAAAACGAAACCACAACAACAAACAAAAGGAAAGAAACACAATACACCCCAAAACACACAGAGAGCCTTGTGTATGAGGTGCTAAAGCCACATGCATTCCGAGAACCTGAAGAAATCTAAGCAATTCTAGCAGCTATCTTATCTATCTTACTACTTACCAAATCGAATACGAATCGAATTGAATCGACAACAAAAACCAAAAGAACAAAACAAACACACACATAGAGTACTATATTTAAATGCATATTTAGAGTGTACTATAACCTGTAGCGAAACCAAACGAAGGAAGCCTACGTCTTAATCTACCCACTCTCTCCAACTAACTCTCGAAGAACACTCCTCTAGCTAACCCTAAACCTAAACCTAACCTAACTCTTACTCGAACAATATCTCTCTACTCTCTATCTCTATCTCTTTAATCGACAACGTTGACGACGACGACGATGACGACGAAGTGATTAAAATTAATGCAACGAATACAAAAGCAAATGCAATGTTTCTCAAACAACGAATTAGGACTTAAGGGCAGCCTATCTATAAGCAGTAATTACGAGTGCTAGCCACTAAGCAATTTTAAACTAAGTCACACGAAAGCGACATTTAAGCACTCAACAATTTTTAGATTCGATATAATGACAACGATACAAATTAATCAAAAGCAAGCAACAAAAACGAAACGCAAAGCAATATTTAGTCGGGTTTTGCGGACCGGTTCAAGTGGGAGCGGTTCCATAGCGAATGTTAACAAACTGAAAACAACAAGGACCAACTCAAACTCCCCGAGAACTGGTTGTGTAAGCCTCATATTAACCCTTGTAGAAAGCATCACGATCACGTTTATATAGGTCAGTCCCCCAAATAAGCTCACACCGAAGTCATTAAAGGCTAGAAGAGCATTGCAGCAGTCACAGAGGGCGGTTCGAAACCCCTTTTCTTTCGTTGGGCGCCGTATTTCCGCAGTCAAATAGCACTACAGAGCAGTGAAGAAGTAGCCTACCATTATTTATGTTAGTCCTTAGAAGTGAACATCTAGTCGCTGTATAACAGCAATCTTATCACTTATTTCATACCAAAGCTATACCCTATACGCAGTTATTTGAACCCAACAAGCATTGCATTCCGTTCGAGGCCCAATTAGGAGTAAAACCAGCGAGTAAGACCAAAGAAATCCGGGGAACCAGCTGTACAAGCCCCAGTATTCATTCATTCGATCGCATAGAGAGAACCCCTCAATCGCAGAACAGAACAGAATATATCGAGTGTGATCTAGTCTCAAGCATTTAACAGTACACTTCGTCCATGCGTGAATAATACTTTTGCACTTTTTCGACACTTAACCGACCTAGTACGATATTACTTAGCCCTATATTATGTAACTGTAACTCATATTCATTCATTCACTCATCCAATGAATCGTTTACGCATTCATCTTCACACTCACACAAGCTCACACCAGCTCACACAAACACACAATCGCTGCACAGCCTGTATATATTAGGATATAGCATATACATAAATCACACATCAGCATTATAATCACCAACTGAAATCAGCTTCAGCAACCGATCTCAAAGAGGAAGTGGGGGAAAGAAGTGCAACGAACATTTTGTAGCGCTAGTCGTAGCCAAGTTTAGATGACCCAAACCAAAGTTGTTGGTATTTCTAAGCGGGTGTCTGGGAATATATAGAAGATATATACATCTAGAATACGTATGTAGTTGCGTAATATTTACAAAGCATATATTATACACAGCTAGGGTTAGTCTTCAGACATGTACTCGTAAGTTAAACTAGTAAGTATAATCACGAAATTATTTTTATACTGTTGTTCGGAGGAGGGAGCGTCGGACGAGAGAGATGGCAACACTTTTAAGGAATATTATTAATCGAATAATCGAGACGAGATCGCAATCGGCATCGAATAAATCGGCTAAAGTACCAAAGCAAATACTCAAAAATTAAAAGCAAACATAAGACCCCCTGCAAACCGCAAGACAAATTACAATTATTTCAATTACAACTACAATTAATTATATATAATATATAGCGTTATCTAGCATATAGTCAACTATTATTTACGTATCGTTTATAATTTATCGACGCGAGAAATGTAATGAATATTTATGAAATTTGCATTATAAGAATGTTGAATTGAATTGAATTGAAGCCCGGCAATAATATTAAATTTTAAAAATTTTGTATAACAATTGTATAGAAGGCGGAGGAAAGTAAAGCAATAACTTAACTTAACTAACGAGTTAATCGATTTATTAGTCTTAAAGAATACTGTAAGGTTGGAACTACTTACAATTAGCAATCAAAGCACACTTGTAAAAACCAAAAACAAATGAAAAACGAGAGAAGCAATTATAAAGTTACAAATATACAATACATATTAAATAACCACACATTTTACGAGCGAAACAATGTTTTTTATTTATAAACCAATTCGGACTTTTTATCATTTTAACTGGCTTCTGTTGCTGATTAACCTTTTGATGAATATGAAATGACGAACCCAAAGCAATTCGAATATTGTGATAGTCCAAAAACACACTAACAATTTTCAGAACTATTCATTAATTTTGCTCAAAGGAAGCGAGCAAACGAGAAATCAAATTGAGCTCCAGGAACTTTTAATAGAAATAACGTGTATCGACAAGCAATAAAACGTAGTGGTAAAGATATATGAGAAAAGAAGAGCAAGGATACTATATTAAGGGGTGAATATTTTAAAAATTGTAAAACGAAAGTCTCTTGGAATATATAAACCTACTTCTTAACTATACCCGGGCAATTAAATATATATATTTGGAAAGCTTTAGTCCAAAATTAAACCATTTCAGTTGCTCCAATCACGCACATACACAAAAGCAGAACCCAGATCATCATGATGTATTGTTAAACCCAAGGAAATTGTTAAAGTTGATACATTAGTAACGTAGGACCCACACACACCCACACACACTTGCATACACTTATCCTGTACAGACACAGACGCATAAACGGAACCAGCGCAACGCGAAATGCAATTGTTGAATTCAGTATTTGTAGCATTAGGTTCATGATCCATTGTTTCCATTATCTGTTGCTGACACCACCCCCAAAAGCAGAACTACCATGCAAGGGAACAACCGAACAACCGACAACCGAACAACTGAGCAACTGAACACCCATGGCAACAACACACAATGTTGTCCTGCGTAGCGTTGTGTTGTGTTGTGTTGTGTTGTGTTGTCCTTTTTGTGTCAATGCAGTTTAACGAGCGCTCGTTAGGCGAACGCCAACAAAGGGAAATGTAATAAAAAAGCAGGCGAATAAAAAAGGGGGAGGTACTGGCGCACCACCCCTCGCGAAAATTGCAAAACGGGGAAAAACGCGAAAGCGGGTGTCCTTGCACGCATTTAATTCGAGAAAATTTCATTTGCATAGTTTGCATTGAGCGTGATTTATTTATTTAGCAAATCAGAATCATAACAAGCCCAAACCCTCTCACCACTCAAAACACACACCCCCACACGTGTATAAATAATTGAGCAAAAAATATAAAAGACTTGGCACGTTAACACTAATAATTCAAGAATTGAACATAACTAATAAAGTCATGAGAATTATATATAGCCGACAAAGAATAAGCAAGCGAGAACAAAAAATGAAAGACTTAACACTTTGAATATATATTATAATTATAACGGAGAAAAGCTATACTTATTTACAGCTATTGTATTGTATATGGTATAATCATAGAGAATCGAGGCAAAAGCAATTAACGAAAGCAACAAAAAAGCAAATGGAAAGCAATAGAGCATTAAGGTAACTAAAAAGTATTAAATCGCATGTATCTATGAGTAAATATTTGGAATTCGTTATATTATTGCGATAAGTAAGGCGAAACCCCAAACATTTATGGCACTATACACTATATATATATAGCAGAATAAAGAATATAAACAATTTAGTTTACACGGAAAAGGAAAAAAAAAGCGATGAGAACTCTGCAGAGGCGCAAACAAAAAAATAAGCAATAAATTATAACTAATGAGCCGTAGGGATTTTTTGCATTAGCTGGCAAACGATGAATTGATTAAACGATTATAACGATTATTAGTTATCGATATACAGATATATTACCAGGTAGAGTTGTTTTTTGCATATTGTTATCGCAACTTTTGTGCTGCTTGACGAGACCAATTGATGTACTTTATACAACGAAAAACCAGAAACCCAAGGAAACTAATGAGAACTCATCTTATGTTTTTGCATAGGTGCATATTGTTGCGATAGATATACAAACCTATTTTGGTCGATTATACATTACACACACTCCCCACACACGATAGTTGAAAAAGAAAAACGAAAACGATAACGAAAACGAAAACAGTTACTGCGTAGAGATTTAAAAGTCATTTTAACTTGTATTTAGAGCACTCACACATACAAACACGACACAAACACACAGACAAAACTGTAGTATTGTAGAAAAGTAGAGTTGCAAAAATATGATTAAAAAAGCGAACATAAATTTAAGCTTACGATTAGAGAACAACACAGCACCTTAGTGAGCCAGCAAAAGTAAAAGTAATGAATTCTGTACCTAGAAATACAACAAACATTCACACACGACACATACACACACACACACACGCATTAATTATGTATTTAATTGCATCGAGACAAGCTAATCGAAAATACATATATATATACGAAGCGATATATGCAACTATAAATATATACACACACAAGAACAAGAATGCGTTTATTATGCGATATATGCAAAACATTCTATATAATTAATTACGTGCATTATGTATATGACATTCATGTACATAAATGGCAGAGAAACACACACAAGCAAACAAAAAGGTCCTGGCAAATGCTGTCAATCAAGGATAATGGAAGGAAAGTCTGACAGGAATGTCCTGCCATGCCTGATTGGAGTCATAGATTCCAGGATCCGCCCTCGAAAGTCAATTTAACCAAATGGTCAATTTCAATTATGACTCAAATCGTTTCATGTTTTTCAGTAGTTTTTATGCTAAGTTGTTAAAAATTGTGCAGCCCATAAGGCAGAACCGACAAAATATGAAGAGAAATCGATAAAGAATTTATGAATGTCTTCAGTTTGATTGCGTGGTTTCGACTAGAGTGCATCAATAAATATATAAAACTTATATACGCATTAAACGAGTATACTATA